CTGAAGGCAGATGCTTAACCAACTGAGCCACCCAGGCGTCCCATTTCCTTGCTTTTTTAAGGCTGAATTCTATTCTATTGTACAGATATATACCACGTTCTGTTTATCAGCCTATTTTGTCAGTAAAGTTTTACCAGACACAGACAAGCCCATTCATTTCCCTATTGCCTGTGGCTGCCTTCCGCACTTAACAACGGTAGAGGTGAGTAGTAGCCAACGTAACTGTACGGCTCCTAAAGCCAAAGCTACTTACTCCTTACAGAACATGTTTGCTGACTCTTGTTCTACTGGGGAGACTCTGAAGGGTTAAGAGAAGAGATATGGAGGCTGCGTTAGAGGGAGGAAGGCAAGAGGCAGGAAGACCTTTCTGGTTTTGTGGGAACAGGGACACAGGTGTGAAGTTGGGGCTTGCCCTCAAGAAGCTCATAGTCGAATTGGGGGCGGAAAGCCTGTTTACAAAGTTGACTTGTTCAGTGATGGGTTAGACATTCAGGGAAGGAAGAGACCTGAAAGGACTGAGTCCTCAGGAAAGACTTCGTAGAGGGCTGGGATTTGGGATGGGATGGATCAGATTGATGCAGGGTACGGAAGAGTGCACTCCTTCTCAGGAGGCCTTCTCAGCCGCACCTTACACGTGAGGGTAAGACAGCGAAAGCAGTTAGATCTGTGCCTGGCATACGGTAAGATTTCCACTACCCTGGCAGTAATGTAAGTTCCACGAGAGCAGGACTTGTATCTGTTTTGGTCACTGTAGTAACACCTGTGCTTAGAATTCAGTAGCTGCTTCAGTAAATATTTATGGAATGAGTAAATCACTGTAACTCTCAATAATGCTTTTTAGCTATTTCATTTGTACTGTGGAAATACAGGCAAAGAGCTGGACCTCTCACACTGGTCTGTCAATTCATTTATTACACTAAAGAGTAATTTATTTATTTATATATTTATTTATTCATTAATTTTTTTTTTTTTTTTTACTGTTAAAGCAGCGGCTGGTTTTACTGTTTATTGCTAGAGATGGTCATGTGGTAAGAGGTGGTAAGTCAGAGGTACTGGCAAGCAAGGGAAAAGAGGAGAAGAAAACAATGTTAGTAATCCTAAAGATAGCCACTCAAAAATAATTCAGTAACTTACTTAAAAAATATTTATTAAACTGCAGCTGTGTTCTGGAGGTCCAAGGGTGAGCAAAATAGACACAGTTGCTGCCTAAGAGGGGCTGATTGACACTGAAACTGGTAATTACGAATGTAAAGTGTGTAACTTACAGACGTGCAAGTACCATGGAAGCTTAAACAAGGACATTTAACCTAGTCTGGGACACCAGAGGGTGTTTCCCTGAGGAAGCGACGAGTCTTGATTATTGCTTGCTGTGTGACAAAATACTCCCAAACTTAGTGCCTTAAAACAATTTATTGCCTCTCACTGTTCTGGGCTACCAGGTTCATCTGGACAGTTCTCAGTGGGGATCTCCTATGAGTTGCAGTTAGATACTGAATGGGGCTGAAATCCTTTGCAAGCTTGCCTGGGCTGTCATCCAAGATGGCTTCTTCACGCACGTGCCTGGTGCCTCCCTGTTGCAACGTGACCTCTCTTTCTGGCAGATAGGCTTACTTCCTAGATAACAGCTTAGAGCTCCAAGAGATAGGAAGAGGAAGCTGCCAGGCCAGGTAAGGGCTGTACCTCAAATGGGCACAGCATCATTTCTTCCACACTCTGTTGATCAAAACATCACAAGTCCTGCCCAGATTCAAGGGAGTGGAAAAATAAAGTCAGTTCTTGATGGAGGAGTAACAAGATCTCATTGCAGAAAAGCATGTGGGGTAGAATTTGTTGTGGCCATCTTTAGAGAATACAAGTCGGTTACTTGATGTTGGGTTGAAGGATAATTTGGCCTTAGATAGGCAAAAGAGAGAGAGGGATGGTAACCCCTCCAGCAATGTGGACAGGACTGGAAGTCAAAAAGGTAAACCTCGGTGGGACTGAAAGACCGGAGCCACTGAGTGGAGGAAGAAGAGGAAGGTAGGAAAATGCTGGGTTACATAGAGAAGAGTAGAGGTTTTTAGGGTATGATTAGAAGGCTAAATGCATATTTCTATCAGAAAGGAAGGGGAATAGCTGCGTAAGTTCCAAACAGAGGTAATGGAAAGCACTAAATAGTGAAAATCAAAATTCCTATAATGGGAAAGACAGGTTAGTCTAGAGAAGGACTTGGGGTGGAGTGGGTATGGGTCAGGGAGATCTTGCCCCAAATCACGTAGTTCATAGGAGACCATTGGGAGTTGAACCAGAACTGACTCTAGAGCTTGGACCCTTTCCACTATATTGTTCACCACACTGCCTATGGAAAGTCATATAATAAATTTGAAAATCTCTTGCTAATCAAAAAGTAATTTACTCTTTCTAATTTGTTCCTAGCCATTCAGGTAAATACCTTCTAAATTTCTTAGGCTCAACTCAAAGGGCACCTTCTTTTCAAGACTTTCCTAATGCATACAAAAGTGTCCATGTGATCTCATAATCTCTTGGCCTCAGTGTCCCCTTCTGTGCAAGGTTGGGGTTGGAAGGATGACTTCAAAGTTCCCTTCCTTGTCTAACAGTCTATGGTTTTAGGATGTGTGGGGTAACAGTGTTCCACAAGCTAGCAGTGATGGCCATCAATGGTTATATGCTTCTAACCGGCCTATGAATACCTAAACAGAGAGCACTAAGAGACATTTTGATTTAAAATAAGAAAGAATCACTTTGAAGGTATTTACTCTCTCTTTCTAGTATGATTACAGACTGAATTTTAATCACTGGGTAAGGAAAGGAATATGAGTAATAAAATCTTAGATGAATAACTAACTGCGCTGCACCTTGGTGCCTCGTCTATGAAATGGGAAACTTATGTTAAAAAAACAATTTGAGTGAGTAAACTTGAAGATAACTTTGGCTGTATTCAACAATTCATGAGTCAGATGACATCCCATCTAGTAAATAGAAAGCTCTACAAAATGGAAGTCTTTTACAGGCAGAAGGGGTAGAAGCAAGGTCACTTTCCTTTGGGGGGAGGGCGGGGATCTATCGGGCAGATTTCCTCAGTAGGGCTGATCAGGTAGTTCCAGATTTACTGGTTAAACGTCACATTCCTGGGAAAGGCGGGAAGTACTGAGGCTGAGGTTAGGTATAAGTCTTGATTTGCTGATGTGGGGCTCCGCACAAGTGACTCCATTTTGTGCCCATTATTTCTTTTTTTAGCACTTACACTTTATTATGTTCATATGAAATTTTAGTAAAGAAGAACTAAAAGTTTCACGATTTATTATGTATTTCTTTTTCATAACCTCTGGTGTAGAAGATGAAACTAAAATTCCCATGTTTCAAAATTATAGAAGTGGTGAAACCCTGTTGCACAATTCAGGAGGCTTAGGGCTTAACTGTAAACACAGGAAGAGAAACCCTGTTTGCAACTATTATAACTGATGTTTATCTCTAAAAGTCAATCAGTGCCTTACTGCATAAGGGCTAACATAATAAGTACCAAAATATAAAATGTAGACAAATTCATAGTCATTATCACTTCACAAGAGGTTAACCACAGAGTTCCTGTGAACTGCAAACTTCTTGACACATTTTAAAATAAAGGGCTATAGTATGGTGATTAACATAACATAATAAAAAAATAATAATAAAATAAAGGGCTATATAGACTAGTTTAATTTACATATATTAAGCAATGTGGATTGGTACTGTTGATTTAAATGTAATGGTTAATGACCTAAGTGCCAAAAATGATTTTAATGAACCATAAAATCATGCAGTTTTTAACAAAAAAAGCACATCTATGAACCTTTGCAGGAACATGCAGAGGTGTTGCTAATTGCCTGATTTTACCTACTTGTAAGTAGTTAAGGGCAAAAAGCCCTTGCATGGTTCTTTTGTTTTTTTGTTCATTTTTTGGGTACACGTACAAAGGTGTATGTGACTGTTGAGCATATGAAATGTAATAGGGTGACTGAGAAACTTTATTTGATTGTTATTATAAATTGAAATTGAAATAGTCGTATATGGCTGGTGTGTACCATATTGGACAGCATCACTGTCAAGTTCTGTGCTAATTAGACCTTGGAGATCTAGCCTTTCCCAGAGATAATGAGTTAGTGCTCACAAAGGGTATTTTCTGCCCAGCCCTGAGGCTGGACCTGTACTCCTTGGCCTGTCCTCAAAACCTCTGGGAGTTTGGAGCCTGAAGCCTTTTTTTTAAGCTGAATGGAGGAATTCTGAAGTCCAGAGGCATTCATTAGGTATTACATAATCAAAGCCTGGGAAGCACAAACGCAGTAATTTTTGGGTTTAATAAAAGGGCAGAGCCTCCCTGGGTCCTTCCCCCTTGTGCTTTTTAGCCTGACAAACCATCAGCGCTTTCAAAGTTTGTGAAAGGACTCATGTATTTGTGACTTTTAGACTGATTATGATGTAGGCCCAGACACAGAATTTTTAGTCTCTTTGCTTACTATTTTAGGTCAACATTTTACAGAGATTTGCCAGGATAGTCTTTTCACAACTGTTCTCAAAGGCTTTTCTGTATGAGTAAAAGCTGTTGACCTTAATTCCCCTTATCAAGGGTTCCACCCTGCTCTGTGTCGGTTCTAACACTAAAGCCGGTAGTGATGTGTACTCTTGACAATGGAACTTCTGTGTAGGTGTTGTCCACCTTGGGCCATGTCTACATAGAAGAGATGTAAAGATGGGGAAATTGTTGGGCAGATTCGTGTACTATAGAATATAGTGAACCACGTGTCAATGTTGTGCTGTTTCTTTTCTTCCAGGAAATTAAGGATTGCATGGCATTGCTTTGGCAAGCACTTCCTGTTATCTTTACAGAGATCTCAATGAAGAATAATCTCAAAGGAGCATTTGACTTCCCACACCTCTGCTAATGGCCATTAGCTACTAGCAAATGCTCCTAATGACTGAAAATACATCAACTATCCTTGTGCTTGGCCTGCTCTAGGCAGTCGAATGAAGGTTTCTTTCAGTTGTTTCCAGAACTCTATTGCTGAAGTGCACCTCTCTTTGTTGGGTGAATGAATGTTCATGAAGCCCTTTCCTGAACCAGCTGAGGAGCCTTAGGCCTCTTGGAGCCTGTGACATGGAAGCTTTGGAAGTGGATGATATCAGCCCAGCCTTGGAAGTTACTGAGGATTTCCTTAGTACTTTTGATACTAAGCTAGAAAAGGCTGTGCAGCAAGCTGAGGTGTATGGGATTCAGGAAGTCCCTGAATTGGTGGGGCACGAGGTCCTCACTAACATAACAGACAATGGTGCTATCAGAAATGTTGCCTCCCTGGGCAAGGGGGGCCTGATTTGGGACCACTGTAAGAGCAGGCTCTTAGAAACCAAAGCTCAAAATGTCTTCCCTGCCAAAGAACAGTTTATGGTTCAGAAGGGGACAGCCCCAGATAATCTTTCCTGGATGGAACAAAAGGAAGCATCGACCTTTAATTTTTTCAACATCTGTCCACGTCGGAGGGATAGGCCTCGCTCCGTCAATGACTTATTGGATGAGACCTCTACTTTCAAGCCAGGGCATGCTCGGTCAAGGTCAGATATTACCCAGGTGGACTGGAGGCTAGTCCTCCAAACTATGCCTCTGCAGCAGCAACTGTGTCTTCGGGGCCCTCATTTCACCAGGCCAGCTTTTCTGTCGTCCTCACCAAATAAGGTCGAAGATGCTCAAGGGAATACTGGTATGTTTTCATGTCTGACTGCTATTGAACAGTCGTTGACTTTCCTTGGTCTGTCTTACATTTACCTCAGGGGAAGTATACTCTCCAGTGTCCCTGTCCGGTTTTGCTTAAGCTCCCTCTTCCATTTGCTTTCACGCTTTACCTGAAGCCTCAGCCTTGGTGTCTTCATAAGAAGTGCTGAGTGAAAAGCTGACTAGTTAATTCTCCCTTTCTAATCTTGTGTGTTAGAATCTGCATAGTCTCATAGTTTGTGTAGTATTTGCCTTTGTACAGAGTTTGGTACTGCTTGTTCGCATTAGTAGATGTTCATCTGATCACACACTGGGCATGGCCTTGTGCTAGGAAGTGTTTAAAGATGTGTAAAGAGCCCGTCCCTGGCTTAAAGAACTTCTCACTTAAGCCGAGGGGATCAGACACTAACATACACTCAAGAAGGCACTAGAAGTGAGAGGAAGTAGAAGGCAACTGAAATATTTGTGAGGGGGCTTTTGTTTTACTTTATATTGTTGGGACTTCTTTCCATGAGCAGGTGACAGTGACTGGGAGGACAGGGGAAGAAGACACTGTGTTGGGTTTGTTAGGAAGGGCTTAAGAGAGTTCATGGGGTTCCAGCTGGACCGGGAAAGACACTCAGATGCAGAAAGGGGGTCGCGGTAGAGGACACTCGGTCAGGATTATGGCTGGAACCAAGGTGAGGAGATGAGAGGTGCAACGGGGAGCGGAGGACCCCCTGGAGGCCAGTGGGCGGGAAAGGTGGGGCAGGTTGGTTCAGACCTCGTGGTGTGGGGCCCTGAAGTTCTCTTTTTCCTCATACTTCACGCACAGCACATATGCACATGAATTCTGTGAGGTGTGACAAGCCATGTCTTCATTTCCCACAGCATTTTCTTTTAGATATCTTAAACATTTAATAATATTACTATTATTAATTAAATTTGAAACTCATCGGGGCACCTGGGTGGCTCAGTCGGTTAAGCGTCTGCCTTTGGCTCAGGTCATGATTTGGGGATCCTGGATCGAGCCCCGCGTCGGGCTCCCTGCTCAGCGGGGGGGTCTTCTTCTCCCTCTCCCCCTGTTCCTCCCCCCTACTCGTGCTTACTCTCTCTCTCTCTCTCTCTCACTCTTTCAAATAAGTAAATAAAATCTTTAAAAAAATAAATAAATTTGAAACTCATCAATGAGAATCAAAGTGACAGTGACACTTCCAATCACTCCTACTTTACTCTCGCATAGACTCTTTTATAAAAGAGCCTCACAGTAAGTATTTCTTAAATTGGCCTTCCTGAAGTGTGCTTTCTCATATTATGAATGGGTTTGTTAGTGGGAAGTGAACCATTCATTCCCTCTCTCACACTGATTTGTGATCGGCTGTTTACTGTCTTCTGGTCACTGAGAAAGGGACTGTTTATTACCCATTGTTTTATCTTCAGTACCTAACATGGTGCTCTGAACATAGTTTATGCTCAAAAAAATGGTTTAAAATGTGGAATGAATGTAATTCTGATAAGCTGATAAGTTAACAACAAGAACTTCTTTAGCCAGTTTTCGTCTTTCTAGAAAAAAAAAAACCTCCAGCCTCTTTTCTGAGGGCCTCGTGCCATCATCTAGCATTTCGTACCTTGTACATCCTCTCTGTGAAGCTCTTTAGCAGCAGTGAAAAATGATTTGCTTTTATCTCAAAGGCTGCCCTGCACTATTCTTGTGATAAGAGAAAATCAAACAGATATGGCTTATAAAGTGGCCCCTCGTGTTGGCAGCATGTTGCCCTGGCCTTGGAGGGGTATCCAGGTACCTCTCAGACTCCCGGGTTGCCTAGGTACAGTTAGGATTCCCCTTTCTGGAAGAATCTGACTACTGCTTGGTGAGCACAAAGCCTTGTGCGATAATTAGGCTTTGCCCTTTAGTCTTTCTGAAGTTGGCAATCATTTGAAGTAATTTTGAAGTAATTTTGCATCACTCCTCAACTCTTCCCAGTTCCCTGATAGTGTTTCTTTAAAGAAGATGATTGCTTTGGATTTGAAGATAATTTCTTTCCTAGCTTCTTGCTCGGGTTGTATGAGAGCAGAATACATCAAACAGACTGACAGCCTACTTGTCACTATCAGAGCCAACACCCGAGCACCCAGTGTGTTTGCCCTCGGGGTGAGAGAGCCCAGGCAGGAAGAGGAGGGGAAATGGTGGCAGTAACAAATAGTGTGCACTGACTATTTTAAGTTTCTTATAAGTAGCGGCTTATTTAATTCATATAATACTCCTGTGATGTAGATATTTTTACTGACCCCATTTTGGGGATGGTGAAACCTGAGGCACAGAGAGCTTAAGTAATATGCTTAGAGTCCCATAGCTGGTACTAAGTGGATCCTTGACTTGAACTTGGGCAGTCTCTCTCCAGAGTCCACGCTCTTAACTGCTAAGCTGGAGCTGTACCCTTACCTTGGAAGCCAGTAGTTCTCGGTCTCCAGAACCCTCTACTTTGAAAGCCTTATTAGTAATCAGGCCCTGTGGGTGTAGAGGGTGGGAAGTGGTGTGGAAGAGACAGACCTGGATGATGTTAATCGAACTAAAATTAATCCCTCAGGAGATCACCAAGCCTGGAAAAACTTAGACACACAAAGCGGCCTAGCTAAACAAGGATTGTTTTTTGCATTTAACATATTACTAAAATACATGGACAGTGCTGAGCTGGCCACAGTTCTTTCAGGGACCAGTGAGCCCACAAAAGGAGGACTGTAACTTTGCCCTTCATACTCTTGAATGCTGGCTGCACAGAAGAGCTTAAGTGAACTGACCCCATGAATTTGTTACTATGGAAAGAGGGCTTTGGGGTTTTGTTCCATCTTTTGGCTGCCTTTTTCAGTCTTACTTAGAAGCCTATGAATGAATGTATTCTATAAGTTTTATTGCCTCAGGCAGAGATAGACCCAGGACAGGCTTCTTACAAGGGAATGTTGCCAGTGCTAGGTAGATGAAGGGTAGAGTCAGTGGGTCCTACCAGGTTGATGGAGTGTGGCTTGAATCCAACCCAGTTAAGACTGTCTGCACTATCTGAGCGTGGGATAGTGATATTGAAAAGGTTAGGTCACAAATCACTGGGAAGCACTAGATCTAAGGCAAGACGGAAACAGAGACAGGTTTTTTCTCCCCCAGCTTTGTTGAAGTATAATTGACAAAGTTGGAAGGCATTTAAAGTGTATGTTGTAATGATTCAATATACATGTACGTTGTGGAAGGATTCCCCTATCTAGTTAGTTAGCACATCCATCACTTCACATCAGAGGCAGTTGTTTCTAAAAATTCTCAAGACAGGTAGTGGAGACAAAGCTTCCTCATGGTCAGCTCTTTTCCTTCCTGCCTGTAGCAAGGTGTGACAGGGAGCTAGCCCTGGGGGAAGTTCATAAACTTAGCTCCTGCCAGAACGGATCATTGCTAGTCCTGGCACTAGTCTGAGTTCTGTACAGACATGCTCTTGACCAACCCTTTCCCCTTTATATCACTGTCATCGTGTTCTTGTTCAGTGAGTAATAATACAGCCATGGGCAGCAGGGAATTTCCCATGAGATCGGAAGACAGGGTCCTAACATCATAGAATTATAATCCAAATGTAAATATGAATTAAGGTAAGAACATAGAAAGTCATATGGACATGTGGACGCTAGGTATGTTATCAATATGAAAAATAGATCACACACACACACACACATACTTACACCTATAAATGGATACACGTAGTAGAGGAAGGTGGGGGGCGGTGTGGAAAGAACAATTAGGACTCACCGTGTGGGTTTGGAAAAATCACTCGTCTGTTGCTTTTGATTTAAAAACCTAGGGAAGCAGGTTAAATTATCTCTAAGATCCTCCCAAATCTAAAATTGTATCATTTTAGGATATATTTGAACTGACCCTGCTTCTTGGTTGTATGGGAGCTAATTAACTATAGTCAGATCGGTAAATCGGTAATGGAAGATCGTCATGGAAATATGGGTATGGTTGAAGTTATTTAACACAGAAGAATTTCTTTGTGCCTTGTAACTAACTCTACTTTTGGGTGAACTGCTGTGGTTGCAATTTTTAAAATCTTTTTTTTTTAAAGAAATCCTTTGCATTAGCTGTGGAGCTCTGAAACTCAACGGACTGCCGAACCTGACTTCCTTTTCCCTCCCTGACTGTGTTCACATTTTCATGTGCTTGGCAAGGGCAGTGGTCAACTGGCTTTTGTTTCAGTTGGTTTCACTCTCTGGTGACCTGGTACCATTTCTATGCCTCTACTTGTTCTAAGTACTTTAGGAGAAGGTCTCAAGCAGAGATTTTCTTTAGAGCTAGAAAGACCATGGCAGTATGGTTTCTTTATCTTGAGTTTTATGTTACTCTCTTTCCATTCCCTTTTTCCCCATCTTTCACTTAAAAAAAAAAAAAAGCCAAATTTGGGACTTATACTAAAATGACTGCTTTTTCAATTATGATGTTTCTGAAAAGCCTTGGAGCCAATAGAGGTGGGAATATTCCTGCAGGCTTAGAACAAGTGAGGTCACCAGGACGTGGTCTCTTGCTGAATTTATGATTCACCCTTCAGCAGGATTAGTCAGTACAAAGAAGTTGCTAAAATAGGTCACAGAAAGTTGATTTTATATGGTTGTATAGTTTCCACTGGTTACATTATTGAATGTTGGTCTGTGGCAGCTATTGGAAACCCAACGCTCCTTATTGACAGCCGATATCCTGATTCTAACATTTCTATATGAGAACTCTGAAAATGAAGTTTCTGATGTTTTTTGTGATTGCTCTGTTAATATAGTTTATCTTTCTTGGCTAAGGAGAACTATAGTTACTAATTTCACAAACTGCTAGAGTTACCTTCTTAAAACAAAAATCTGTTCATACTATTCTGTTCTCAAAAACAAATCACGGTCCCCTATTCTTTACAAAATCAAGTGTAAGTTTTATAAAGCATGCAGGTATCTTCCCAGACTTATCACTCGTACCTTCTATCACCCCACCTATGT